AGGATAATCTCTGGCAGTGGTCAGAAAGAAAGTCACTAGCAGGTATGGAAACATGAAATTTTAAAGCGCCAAGGAAACATTTAAATGTTTAGCTCATACCACTAATTTAAAAACATGATTGAGAGCTTATTGCTTAACTTTTCTGCCTCTGCTGTGATGCTTTTGTTCTCAAAGCGCTGTACCTGGCCATTTTTAGGTTCCAAATAGTGGGTGGAAGCACAAAAGCTAATGACAACGTCATAGGCTCACATATTTTCTAATTTTTAATAACATGTACCACAGTCTTCCCGAAAGCTAGTAGTGTTGTACCTGTCCTGAATGTTACCTCCCAAATGTGATTCATGCCATAGGACAGCTTGGCATTTTGTGATTATTTATACATTTACTTCAACTGAGTTGTTTTTTAAAGGAGGTTGAGTGCACTGGGAATTTTACAAATTAAATTTATTGCAATAGAAAAAAAAAAGATATCTACCTTCTACTATACATTGCTTTGTTACTAGTTTTACAAGGACATAACATAATCTGGGGAAACAGCATTACCCTTACAGTCTTGGGATCAGGGAAAACCCTGTTTTAACATAGCACAAGTTCAGCAGTAAAGACAGTCTCCATACTCTGTGTTTAAAATGTGAAGAAAAGTATCTTGTGGCTCTTTTTTTTGTATAAATATATATTCATGCATGTAAATTACTCATCAGAGACCTGACTTGCAGTCTACCTTGACTATAGCCCTAGTTGTGCGGAACATTTAAGCATACTGACTGACTATAGCCCTAGTTGTGCAGAACATTTAAGCATACTGACTTTGAATAATTCACATTTTTCATGTTGTGTGCATATTTAAATAGTCTACCTGACTGGAGACATTAGTGATCAATCACAAGAGATACTGAGATTCTCTAAGGACCTGAGCATCTTTTCACTGACTCCAAAAGATGTTGATGGTACTCGGAAACTAGTCATGCTCAGCATCTGTCTGGATCCTCCTAAGTAGAATAGTGGTACTGTCTGCCTGTGCAAACTGTATATTTTGAGCACAGTAATAGCACACAGATACTACACACAAAGATTTGAGTAATTACAGTTACACTCACTAAAATGTAGATTAGGTCAAAGCCCAGTAAAATATTGGTGGGTTTAATTATTTTTTCTAATAGAAAAAAAATAAAGTTGTCTGTGTAATGGATAATACCTCAAAGAACAAACTTTTAAGAGCAACGTAACTGTTAGCAAGCAATTTGGGGCTGGAATTTAAGGTACCTTGCTAGCCTGCTAGATTGTGCTACATAGAGACTAAAGGGCCAGCGTCAACTATTTTCACATATAAGGCATATATTCTTGAGTCAGCTGTTTATTTAGAAAAACAATAACTTCACACCATTAAGCTTTTTCAATTAGTAGGGATTTTCTTTAAACAGACTTTGAAAAAGAAGAGATTCTTCGTACCACTTCCCTTTCTTGTAAATAAATCTCCTTTAGAACCACAACAGGCTCCTTAATTTCCTGATAAAAGTTTAATAAACATATGCAGAGCAAAAGAAGCTGCAGTACTTCTCTAGCAGAATCAGACAAAAGCTTTAAGCAATGTAAAAACTGGCTTTACAAAACTGAATAGTAGGAAACAAAGAATAGCTGAAGTCAGGAAGTGTATTGTAGGCATGGAACAGAAGTTGATAGTGCTTAATAGCTGTGGCTGAATCAGAAAGTTGTAGTGAGTTATTAGCATCCTTTAGTGGGTCAAAACAAATTTCCTTTACTTATGTTCTTCTCACAAGTGAATGTGCCTGTATTTTCATTAGCTTGGCAAGTAACTCATGGTTATTTCACAGCACACCCTGACAACTTTAGAACAAACTACACACTGAATTTGTAATTTGCTGAACAAGACTCATGCGTAACCTAAGTATGCCTTCATGTAGATAAAACAGAGTTTTTCACAGATGTAAAAGTATTTGATGAAATGGAGTTGAGAAAAATACCCTAAATAAAGGTATCTTATCCTTGCGAGCCAGTTAGGTTGCTTTCCACAAATTAGTGGAGAGTCACAGAGTTTCCTTCTTTCCTAGGATCATATTTCGTCTCCTGTCACTCCTATTTTTACATTACTTAGTTCATTTGGACTCCTGTTATCAGTTTGATGACACTCATCACACTGAGTGCTGCTGAACTAAAAACCAGAGGAGAATAATAGACGAGAATGAGGGGTGAGTAATCTGAATAACATAAATAACATTTTTGCAAGACAAAATACATTCAATGACCTATTTCTGCTGCTGCCTGTGCGGGACTGGTCCCTGTGAGTTAAAAACAGGATCTTTCATGGGAGTGGTTCAGTGCAGGAAGAATCTGGGTGATATCTCAGTTCCTGCAGCATAAGGACTTATCTGTACTGCCTGCACTGTGAAATAAATAGCGCATTTCCCAGCTAGTGGGATTAATACATGATCTGGTAGCAACAGAGAAGTGGCAGAGCCCAGCTCACATCAATTCTTTGTCCATTTTTATTTTGCTCAGAGTAAGTCTGTTTTTGGACAGCACCACAAGTATTAGCATTCCAGTTGTAGCTGGACTCTCTTGCCATGTATGTAATTTCATAACATTATTATGGCTTTTAGGCACATGACAACTTCATTTTAACACTATATTCGTCGGAGAGTTTTTAGTGTTGTCAGTTCAGACTGGTTATGTGCACAAACTGGCTGTATCAACGATCACATCATCTGACAGGAAGCATGCAATAAATTACCAGAAGTTTAGAATAAGTGTACCTACTGGCATATGCCTTCTTCAGCAGGCAAAACCTATGAGGAAAAAAAGTGTAGTGTTCATGTAATCTCATTTTTTGAGAAGCTACATTCTATAGCTGAAAAAATCTTGTTTTATGCCATCATCTGCGTATTTTTAATTGTCTAATTCCAAAGCAAATGTTGATAGTAAGCCAAAACACTCATTTGTTTTGAAAATCATCTACTGTGGAATATGGGCTGCAAAGGATAGTTTGCTTCCTAATAGCTGCAGAAATAGATATTTTTAGCATGCCAGTGAGACAATATACTTATTCCGTAAATTCATACGTTCGTTTTTTCCAAAGTGTGTATTCAGTTGAATGAGGTTGATTTCAGTGAATAATGCTCAAATTCTGGAATCATCTTAATTTTGTGTGTGTGTGAATGATATGATGGTGCAGCAGCTCATCCTGGATGCCATCTCTAAGCATGTGGAGGACAAGGTGATCAGCAGTAGTCAGTGTGGATTCATCAAAGGGAAATCATGCTTAACTAACCTGATGGCCTTCTGTGATGGCATGACTGGCTGGGTAGATGAGGGGAGAGCAGTGGATGTTGTCTGCCTGGACTTCAGCAAGGCTTTTGACGCTGTCTCCCATCACATCCTCATAGGCAAGCTCAGGAAGTGCAGGCTGGATGAGTGGACAGTGAGATGGATTGAGAACTGGCTGAATGGGAGAGTGCAAGAGGTTGTGGTCAGTGGTGCAGAGTCTAGTTGGAGGCCTGTAGCTATCAGTGTCCCCCAGGAGTCAGTCCTGGGTCCAGTATTATGCAACTTATTCATCCATGACCTGGGTGAGGGGACAGAGTGCCTCCTCAGCAAGTTTGCTGATGATACAAGGCTGGAGGAGTGGCTGACACACCAGAAGGCTGTGCTGCCATTCAGAGGGACCTGGACAGACTGGAGAAATGGGCAGAGAGGAACCTCCTGAAGTTCAACAAAGGGAAGTGCAGGGTCCTGCCCCTGGGGAGGAATAACCCCATGCACCAATACAGGCTGGGGGCTGACCTACTGGAAAGCAGCTGTGCAGAGAAGGACCTGGGAGTCCTGGTGGACAACAAGTTAAGCATGAGGCTGCACTGTGCCCTTGTGGCCAAGAAGGCCAATGGGATCCTGGGGTGCATGAGGCAGAGTGTTGCCAGCAGGGCGAGGGAGGTGATCCTGCCCCTCTACTCAGCCCTGGTGAGGCCATATCGCGTCCAGTTCTGGACTCCCCAACACAAGAGACACACGGAGCTCCTAGAGTGAATCCAGCGAAGGGCTGCTAAGATGATGAAGGGACTGGAGCATCTCTGCTATGAGGAAAGGCTGAGAGAGCTGGGCCTGTTTAGCCTGGAGAAGAGAAGGCTCAGAGGGGATCTGATCAATGTGTACAAGAATCTGAAGGGAGGGTGTCAAGAGGATGGGGCCGGGCTCTTCTCCGTGGTGCCCAGCAACAGGACGAGAGGCAACGGGCACAAACTGAACCACAGGCAGTTCCATCTGAACCTGAGGAAAAACTTCTTTTCTGTGAGGGTGACTGAGCACTGGAACAGGTTGCCCAGAGAGGCTGTGGAGTCTCCTTCCCTGGAGATATTCCAAACCCACCTGGACGCGATCCTGGGCAATGTGCTCTAGAGGACCCTGCTTGAGCAGGGAGGTTGGACTAGATGATCTCCAGAGGTCCCTTCCAACCTCAACCATTCTGTGATTCTGTGATAACTGGATGCCATCATAAGGGGATATTACTCACTTCTCCAGGTATAGATCTACAATCTTTTCTTTTTTTTCTTATGATGCAGTCCTAAAATCCACTGATTGATACAAGGACATCTGATCATTTCATTTGGTAAACAAGATCACAGTACCTCGAGCAAAGTTTCTTGCTCTGTCTTGCTAGAATGCAGCTAACTTTTAATGACAAATTCAGATGATTATTTTACAGCCAATGTACTTTATAAAGCTTTGTTTGCATCACTTATTTAATCCCAAGATATAAACTTTTGTGCCTAATAATCCCAGAATGAAAACAGAGTAGAGTATATTATTGTCTATGATACCTTTCCCAGAATTAGAGTTATTCCCACAAGAGCTGTCTTGTTTTACTCACTGAAATTACAGAGCCCAAAAAATTTCCAGTTTCCTATCTTCATTCAGTGGTGATATTAAGTGTAGATGTAAAATGTGTTTTATATACTGTCTTTATACACTGATTTCAGGGAAACTTTTTTCCAAGATTACTAACAAAAATTCATGAATATGACCCATATAAGCATAGGTTATTTTCATCCATATAGAACTATTGTAAAAGAGAACTGTGACTCAAACTTTCTTTTCATTTTCTGTTTTCATAGCTATTATTTAAAATTTTACTGTTCAATTTCTGGAATTCCAGATGGATTTCCGACTCTCTACATCTTCACAAACAAGTGCATAGAGCTGTGGTGTGTTCCTTGGACACCCAGCTAATGCAAATTTTGGTGTTGATTTCCATGGAGACAGAATTCCAACCCAAATGTTATTTTTAGGTATGAGGATGATTAATTTTCTTCCAAAAGAATCATAAATCATTTCCTAATTGCTAGAGCCTATATCAGAGTAGCAGATAATGAGGAGAAGGTTCATAGTTTCTGAGTTGCCTAGAGAGAAACGCTGACCAAATTAGGCAGAGCTGTTTAGGCCCAATAATACATTGAGTTAAGACAGTTTGATGTTACACATTCAAGATATTTTATATCCCAGCTGATTCAGAAATTTACTCACAAGGACTTTTAACACATTTAACCAAGCTGACTTAGTCTCTGATGTAGTTAAATGACTGGAATTTCTGAATGAAGACCTGGGTTTACTGAAATTGGTAGAAAAATGCTGAACAACTCGAATGAGGGAAGGCTATTATCTTCTACAGAGAGACTAACGAATAGTCCCTATATTATACAGTGTTGCTTTGGAGTTATCTTTTTGTTAAGAAAACTGGAAACTACACTGGTTTTAGAGTATTTTTTCTCCTGCGGTGAGCTGGTAACTTATTTGGAGCTGATTGGAGACTCAGCAGGAGAGAGAGAGGAATTCTTCCCATTTTTATGTATATTTAGGTATATTTTAGATGAAAAGAAGTGATTCTGAGCCTTTTACTACAGTATAAACAATGTTTTTACAGAGTATAAGCTCAGCTCCTTCCAGCATGCTAAGGTACTGTTGCCTTAGGTTCTGAAGGCTTTGGCCTGTACCATACTTAGCCTGCTCCTGTAAATCTTCACTTATGGCAGCAGTATCATCTAACTTTGGCATCCAGTCCCAGGAATGTATTTATCTTTTTTCTTCCATCTAATTTATACAATCTTTTTTTTTTTTTTTTTTTACAGAAGAATACTACTGTGATGTTCTTTTTCCTGTTGAATGCAGTACCTATACAATTTTGTTGTACTGAGTAAATTAAATATCCTGTGTTGTGGGTTATATCAAACACATGTTTGTGTGACATGGAGCTGAAAAATCACCACAATTCTGTTAATTTTCTAATAGAAATGTTATGACAATTAAGCTTCCTGCATAGCTCGATGTTTCAACAGAGACCAGTAAAATATGCACGTAGGAATGCACTGCTTCCTTAGGTGACTTTTTGAACGAGTTAGGAATAATAATCAAAACTATGAAATATGTGGAAGAGTATGTTCCTTCTAAACATTAATATGTTACTCTGGCCATGTCTTTCGTGAACAGAATGTTGTCCCATAAACAGGATGGGCTGGGACAAAATGGCTTTAATGTGAAGAGCCTCCTTATGTTTAATACTCTTCAAACTGAAGAGGAGCTCTATCTGGTGCAGATGCAAATCTAGCATTTTGTTTTTCAGACTATTAACAACTATTTATGCCTGTTTCAAAATATATATAAATCGTTACCCTCAGCATTTATTCAATGTCAAAATCCAACCACAGGATACAAGGAAGGATAGGAAAATCCAGACAAATGAAACATATTTTATTGATGCGTGTTTGAGATAGGACAAACAATCAGGGACTACAATGATTCCATTTGGAAAGATCTGAAAAGGTTAAGTCAGACAATTAACGCATGATGATTCTTTCACTTGGTTCCCCCCTTAAATAGACTTTAGGGGCATTCCCGTAAGTCTCTGGGAGAAGAGAAGAATATATTCATATTTGTGATGAGTTCATCTTCATCTCAAGTTAGATGTCTAATTCCGAGTTAAACATCTGTGGTCCCTAATAGTCACTGCAGAAGGATAAAGCTGACTGACGTCTTACACAATATGCTAGAATGGGTCGAATCACATTGGGATGTAGGAAGTACATGTTTCAGCATATTGTTGCAGGGAGCCATCACTTTCCAGGAGAGAGGATTCTAGAAGCTGTCCTTACTCAGAATGTCCAGTTGACCTGATTTTGTGCTCTTCTTTGCTGCAGATTGATTTTGAAGATGTGATTGCTGAGCCAGAGGGAACACACAGCTTTGATGGGATTTGGAAGGCCAGTTTCACCACCTTCACTGTAACAAAATACTGGTTTTATCGCTTACTGTCTGCGATCTTTGGCATTCCTATGGCTCTCATCTGGGGCATCTACTTTGCCATTTTGTCATTCCTGCACATCTGGGCAGTGGTGCCATGCATAAGGAGCTACCTGATTGAGATCCAGTGCATTAGCCGTGTCTATTCTATCTGCATCCACACATTCTGCGATCCACTGTTTGAGGCTATAGGCAAAATGTTCAGCAGCATCCGAGCCACAGTACGGAAAGAGATTTGAGGGACCTTTCAAGGAGAGCCATCAGCCTAGAGTGGGTTTGGGTATTTTGTTTCGTTTGGAGATTTTTGGTGCCGGTTTCAAGTTTCCCAAAGCAACATACAGCAACCGGTGGTGGATATACTGGCCCAAAACAAAGAATCACTTGCTCAGTGTCCTTTTCTGCTGTTTATTCCTACTGGACTATTTCCTCTTTTTTTTTCTTAAGTCTGCCTTTCAAACTAACCTTAAATTGTTATTCTTCCATGCCGGTTGCATATCATCTTACTGACAATTCAGAGACTGAAGTGCTGTTGTTGGATTCCTTTTTATCCCATCATTTTTTCCTTGTAAGAGAAATCCACAGCAATGCTGAAGAACTACAGAAATGCTTTCCAACTTTATAAAGCCATTGTGGCCAAAGAGTGTAGAGCTATTGCAGCAGAATGAACATGACAAGCTGGCAGGTTTTTAGCAGAATGTTCCTTTTCAATTCTATTGTCAGATGACTGCAGCCATTTAGAGTCATGGTCAGATATGGTGTCCTATGAATAAATCAGTTAAGTAAACAAATTGCTTAACTAACGTATGCTTTGAAAGTCTAACACTTTATCAGGTCAGAGACATTGACACATGAAAGCTTTTCATGTCCATAAAAAGCTTCAGTCGGTGCCTTTCTATCTCATGCTCTCTCTTGGAAGTTTGCAGCCAGTTGTTTTGCTAGAACCTTTGCTAGAACTGCAGAGGCAAACTGAAGTTGAAAACTAAAACTGGTCATTATGGAAATGTTTTCCTGACTGTGACTTATGATAATACATCCCTTAGCTAGCATTTAGGTGCTTATCTCATAGGCTTTTTTTTTCTTGCAAAGTATTCATATAAATACATATAGCAAGTACGCCAGAGATAACCCAGAGTTACAAGAAAAATCAAGGTGTGCCAAATGCAAGCCACATAATGCCAAGGAGTTACTGCCTCTGAGAGAAACTTTCCTATCAGCTTTAAAAACTTTCCTATCAGCAGACATCAGCATGCCACTAGTTCACAGATTGTTTTCAGGAGAATTGATGTTTTGCTGAGTCTAAACTAATCCATCACAAGAGATGGTTTAGAAATTCACATTGTGGGTTTGTTTTTTAATTTTCTTTAGCTAAGCTGCAAGGAAGTCTTACATAGAGGGTATATTGTGTGAAATTGTCACATGTTGCAAAGCGCACGGCCTAGAAAATAAAGCCTTTGCAACATGTTCTGATGCTGTGACCTACAAGAGCGTTTTGCCCTCAGGATAGTACTGTGTTCAGCGATACTGTGTATATCCTCGTATGGTTTGCCTGAAGCATTTTTAAAAATAGTTGTGAGGCTCATCAGCTTTATTGTAAACCAAACTGGGGTCTGAGCCTGCTCCAGTTGGGATCTACAGCAAAATAGTTCCTGGCCTCTGAGAGTGCAAGATCTGGCCCTTGGAATGAGCATGGAGCTGCCTGGTACACCTACAGCTTTTTTTAATTAGTGCTGATATTCCACATATTGCTTTACCTAACACAGGAGTGCCTTCAGTCCAATTGCTGCCAAAGCATTGACAGTTGTTTAGAAAAATGCTGCATTTTTTAACGGGGGGGGGGGGGGGGGGGGGGGAAGGGGGGGCAGTGCGGAGGGCGTGCACACAAGTGTTACAAACGTATTAACTACTATTGTTTGCATTTAAAACAGACACTGGTATGGATAGAGTTTTATGTTTTTCTATGTACATAATGAAGAATGTACTATTATGGAGTTTTGCAGTATTAACAGTAAGCAACATTGTAAACAAGAAATATTTTATGAGGAAAATCACTCTGAAAAAAACCTCCTTGATTTACCATATAAACTGTATATCCTGAAAGATGTCTGTTCACTTAGATTTATTAGTCCCTAATCCAAATACATTGCTGATCAAAGACATTTAAATCCTTGCTATATGCTTACAGATATAACTGACACTTTTTTTATTCTGCATGTACATTAAAGACTACAATAAAAAGATGAGTAATGATAGATCCCGTCTGACTTTTTTTCCTTGAAATTCATGTGAACAAATCTCATATTGCTAGGAAGCAAACCCCAATATTTCTTGATAAAGGTGCAGAAAGCTGTGTCATGTTTCTCAGGAAAGAATGTGCAAAACACTTGATTTGTGTCTGAGATCTGACCTAGGAAGGTTTTTGCCAACAAAAATTTATTTTTTTTCCAGATAAACATTTTCTGTTACTGAATAAGTAAGCAGTTAGACTAGTGAATATAGTATTGAACAGGGAGTATAAGCTTGTCTAGGTGCTTAATAATGACCTTGGACAAATTCTTCTACTTTCCTGTTCCTCATTTTCGCTGTTTTTCAAATGAGAACAATGCCACTTACCTATAAAGACTTTTAAGATCCAATAAATGGAACAGTATCACAATAAAAAGAGTGCTTATAATTCATATTGCATGAAGGACTTGGGCCAGCTCAAATTCAGATTGTTCTGATAGCTCTTCAGTTAAAATCATTTAAAGCTTTCCTTTCGACTCTGGTGAAAATAGGATTGTTCCTAATAAAAGTTTGTTTTAGCCTAAGCCTTTACTGTATGTAGCTAGGGGAATGACAGCTTTTACCCAGCCACGCACAGATGTAACTTGTGACAGGGCAGTCCTTTTCTGTGGGGTTGTTACGCAACATCTGTCACACCTTTACCCTAATACACAAAATTCCAACCGAACAGGCTATTACATTTCAACTTACAAATCTGTTAGCCCTATTTAAATGTTCGAATGGCCGATATCAGCATAAGGTAGTCTGTCATATGTTTTCCAGTAGCAGAATTGTATTTTAATGGTATTTAATAATAAAAAGGCAGTAAATAGTACATTGGATGTCTTGGACTATGAACTGTGAGAATATTAAAAAGGAGATTTTGAAAAGTAAATTGGAGACTGCAAAGTGAAAGTAAAGCAAATGAGCATGCCAGTATTCAAAAACATCTTTTTTTTCAAAGGAGCCTAATAGATTTAGAGCAGGCACAGCTATTCATCTTAACCACTTACAATTCACATCACCGAGACTCTTCCTGAGGGGAACGTGCAGATTTCACTCACTATTGCACTGCCCATAGCACTTCGCTGGGCAGCATTCACAGCCATGCGCTGTGGGTGAATCTCAGACTGCTACTCCTGCTGGACTCATAGCACAATGACACTCATGATCAATATCACACTCATGATATAACCCATACCCTGTCTATAACAAGATTAGGAGAAAATAGCATTAGAAAGCTGCCTATCATGGCTACAAATGTATTGTAAATAGCCTTCTACTGTTAGATCTGAAAGTCAGTGTCATAAGCTGCCTATGGGTTGATATGGATTCAACAGAGCTTTTAACACACACCAGAAAACTTTCTTGGCTGTTGCTGGTTGCTTTTCTCACCCTCTGTGTCACTAGTTCTTAACCTATGCCAGCTAGCTTGGCCTATTTCCCGTTGTGTACCAGGGATGATGTGTGGGGGAGCCAGGCACTCGGTTTAAACAATCCAGAGCAGCCTAGTTTTAAGAAATGTTATAGCTAGAGAGTGAAATGCTTGGTTGTGTGGTTCATCCTCTTTGATTGTTTGACAGTAATGGAATAAATACAGATTATTTGTTTGAAACACATTTTTTTGAATGAAGTTGCAAAAAGGTGTAATGACAAACCATAAGCTTTTATTAATGATGGAGAATTTCCATGGCTGCACCTAAGCCAACTTTTTTCTCTCTCTTAGGTTAAAGTAGAACTGCTCTCTGTTCATTTGCTTGCTTTTATTGTCTCATGAGACTGCTGCATCCTTCTTCCTTTTTTTCCTCACCTTCTGACGAAGAGGAGAGCGGCACAAAGTCATTGCCAAGCTAGAACATCTTTGCCATCTTCATTTGTGTCTTACTAGACTTTATTTTGCACTTCATCTTACCTGATATCGTATGATACAGGTGATGTTATTTCCATCTTGCTTCCTACTCTAAAATCTTTAACTAATATTTCAACTGTATAGTTCAATTAGCACACCCTGTCTTCAGGATGCTTTTTCTCTCTTGTGGCACACTGGTAAAATGCTGTATATTTGATATCTTTGATAATATCTAAATGCACAGTCTCAAGATTCATAAGATGGTGAAAGGAGGAAGACAGTGAGTAGACTCTAGTCACTAGCCTGTGTCCTTCCATGTGGTCTTAGTTTTATTCCTCCCAGAACCCTGTCAAAGGCACATTTTATTGCTTAGTCCAGATGCAAGCCACAAAATACTCTAGGCTCAATACTGGTAAGTTATTTGCTTTTGCTTTGAAAACCTGAATTAACATAACTCTGCAGATGCCTGACCTGCCTTGGTGCATAATTGTCAGTAAAACTGACAGTAAAGGTGCCCAGGTCACATCTAAGCACAGCCGGGACCCACAGATGAGATGTTGCTCTGTCTGCCTTCATCTCTTGTGGGAACTCAAGGTGACAGGCATTCCCAGAGACACTAATGCAGTTCTGGAAATACCTCCCTGAGGCTCACAGTCGAGCGTTCAGCTCCCTGAGAGAGAGGAGTATTAAACTCTTCCCACTGCACTTCCTACTGTAAATGTAACCAGCTCACTGGTCGGTTTGCTGACTGTTAGAGTTCCCTCTTTGTATGCCCAGTTCTCCTTATGTGCTGCACAGGAACTAGCTGTAGATCCCTAATGGGGCATGACTGCTTCTAGTAGGTGCCTGGTTGCCTGAAAGGTACTGCCTGACCTCTGTGGCACCTGAATCCATCTGTTGGTCTGAAGTTTTCAGAGCCAGATTTTCTCTTCCAGCAAGCTGTCAGCAGCGCAGAGGGGAGTAAAAGCAGCTTTCAGTCGCTATCACGTTCTCCAGTTCCAGCACTTCTAAATATAATTCTGGTCTGTAGTTTGAAAGACTAGGGATCTAGGCTGAAGGCTGTTTTGTTTTCTACAAACTGACAACTGCCCTTGGGGGTTGTTTTGGCACCCAGGGACTAAGTTAAATCTGAGGCTGTCATAGCCATGACGTTCTCATATGATCACATCTCTGAACCTTTATCCAGGAGATGGGGTACCTTAGCATACATAGGCACTGACAATATTTTTATGGCTAGTTACTCTGACCTACAAAGACCTTTACACTGGAGGATCAGCACAGAGAACCCTTAAAGCACAAAGGGATCTGTAGTTGTGTAACTTTTTGGCAACTGTCAGAATAGAGGCGTTCATCTGTGACTGTTACTCATCAAAACATTCATCCTGCCCATCTCTAGCAACTAGAGCTCCAGATGTAGTTTGCCAGATGTGCATGTTGCCAGAAGCCCTACTGGCAGAAAATTCGAAGTGAAAAAAGTGATGTGGAAACTAAACAGAAACAGAATGAACTGTGCTGCTAAACGAGAAAAATAAGATAGCTAAGTATATCAAAAAGAACAGGTATACTCTAAGGAAAGGATAAAGGGAGGAGAGGAGCACATTGAGAACCAGGCTGGGGAATCACTGAATGTTGCAGCAAGGAGTCAGACTAAGGAAGCAAGAGAAACTCTCTGCAGGCAGTCCCAAAGCCTAGCCCAACTGTGCTGGGGTTCCATAATTCGCCTATGCCCCCTGGGCCGAGCATATGTTGACTTGCTAGATTATTCGTTTTACAGATATGATCTATCCCACCTACAGAAATTCTCCATTGTAGTCTAGGCTCACTGTATGACAGTAAGTATCCCAATAATAGGAACTGACTAGACCATACAAGTTCTTATAGGTTTAGACAAGCGTCGTCAAGGTTTGTTCATATTTTGACATCCTCCAACTTTCCATCTTCTGGCTTGTACAGTATTTGCTCTATTTATTTCATCTTAAGTAGACTCCAGTTCAACAGTTACGGACTTTGGTCAACTCAGCTGTCTTCTTGCGACAAAAGTGAAAGTCATTACTGCCCCATTGGACAATGATTCAACTACATTTGGAAACATAAATTTCTGCCTGTTTCATCTGTTACAAGTGTCTGATACAGTCTGAAGACTCCTATGAAACAGAGATGTCCAGGGACAAAACAACGAAACTGTTTTCATCAGATTTTAGCAGGACTGGGTCTTCTGGTTTGAGTGTGAGTATCTTTGGAGCACCATTTCTACAGTTAAACATTTTTGGAATATCTCTAACCAGCATCCTTTGAGGAAGGCCACTTTAAATACAGATTTACCTCTCTCACCTGCAGAATTATCTGACCAAAAACCAGTATTTAGCACAGAGAAGTTAAAGCCAACCCCACCCAGCTCCACAGTGCAGTGGGTAAAAGCCTTCTGCAGAATTCTCTGAAAAACTTGAAACTCAACTTTTATCAGCTTATTCTTCGCTCACTCAAGGACTGAAAATATTATAACTGAAATTATATGGTGGCTATTGTTGGTGGATATTCATCCAAAATAAGAAAAATAAATCTTTATTATCTATGACCTGTTGATTCATGGACTAGTAAGGACTGAAACTCAAAGCAACTTTGTTGTTGATGGCAGCAAGCACTGATCTCACATGCAGAGGAGTTCCTCTTAATGCTAACAAAAGCCTCCAGTTTGATCCCCCACCTTGAGTCCTGGGGAAGTTGAACCCTGACTCTCTTTTAATAAGCAGTATTTCTCTTTTACGAGACTGAGGCTGTATACAAGGGAAAGTGAAATAAACTTAGGAAGAATTAACAATGATAAATTAGTCAAATGTTTGTATTAATAATGATTAAAGGCACCACGCTGTATTTCTTTGCACTAAACCTTTGTGGTACAGTTTCACAGCCGCAACCACGATACTTCTCTCAGGAGTTGTCCTTTTGCTGTCATTACTATTGTTCCAGCTATCCTTTCTCCCTGTTTAACCATCAGCGGTTACTTTGCCACTACATCCAGGAATTCATCTATTCACACAGGCATGTCGCTAGCTCTCAGGGAAGTTCAGCTGTACTTTACTTGTTTAAGAAGACTTGACAGGAATCCACAAAGTCCTGCTGCTGTACACAGCAGCTTCAGTTTAGGTTGTTTCTCTCACCGCAACACACCGCCAAACTAGCTCATCACAATGTCTACAGACATTGCAGAAGGTCAATGCAAAGTCTTCAGAAGTCTTGAAGAAAGTCTCTTGCCGTGTTTCCCTTCTTATTTCTCTTTGATTCCTCCTCTCCATTTCAGAGTATTTATGCTCTTCAAGTGAGTTTCCAAAATGTCGTGTAGATTATTCTGAATAGAAAGCTTATGCAAATAAACTCATTCTGTAGCTGCTCTTCTCCTTATTCAATAGCACTAAATAATTTTCTCCCGGATGGAGCTTATATTCATTTTTGTCTCTATTTACAAACACTGAGTAGGAGCAAAAGATTCAAAAAAAACCTCATCTTTTGCGGGCAAGAGACCACATTGAAAACAGTTAATAACTAGCAGATAATCATTTTATTATTGTCTATTGAGTCCTAGCACTATGTTTCCGAATGCCCATCAGATAATGACATAGGTGTTAGATCCATTTCTTTCCGTGTATGAACAGGGAAAAGCAGTCACTTGCAGTGGACCTGTGAACAAGGACTGTGTCAAATTTCCTCTAAATTAATTCATGCAAACTCTGAATTGCTCCCAGTAACTCAGCTGTCCTGCTGGGTTACAAAACACTGCTATTAATGACAGTACATTAAGAAATAACAATTTTATCTTAAGAAACAACAATTCGTCTGTCCGATATGGATATGTGGATAGTTTGGTCCAGATGAGCAGCAATGTTAATCCCTTTTTATGGTACCTACTAGATAACTTCAGTATACATAAATGCCAAATGATTTTCTGAAGTAGAATATACATCTCTTAGGAGCTTTATGGCAGAATCAGTGATTTAACCATGGGTGATAAAAAGATAGACCTAAATATGCATAAAGAATGTGACAGGTGCAAATAATTGGCATAAGTCATGTTCTGAATATTTCTGAACAGGGTACGATAGTCTTAAAAAAGTGCATGAAACACAATACTTCTCACAAAACAAGTTCTCTGTTTCCAGTATAAATATTGGTGCTGATAGCAGAAATGAAAATGCCTTCATATTGCCCTGCAAATGTGTCTGTCTTATGTCTTCTCAAAGGACTGATTCCAGGAATAAAGAAATAAAGAAATAAGCTAAAAAATTTTTCTACTTCTCTCTTCCAACACTGATAACCATTTTTCTGGTAATTTTTGTATTGTGTGGGCACAGGACTGAAACTGGAAACTACTTATGCCATATAAAAGCTTGAGTAGCCAGAAAGCAGTGACCTGGTCACAGTGAATCTGATTTGAATTTAAATTCTAAACTCTGTGGCCCTCTAATGGGTGCCAATTCTCATGGATATGCTCTGTTTATCTAATAAAAGTTATAATGACTTATTTTGTGGAGATTTTTTACTGGCAGCTTATTTATAATTTTAAAAAAATGCACAAAAGAGTAACCATAATCTAAAAGGAAAAGTCTGAGTGAAAAATTTCTATCAGATGCTTCCAGTTCAAGTCTATTAATACATGTAGTTGCCACAGCTATTGCACACAAATCTTGCCTTTGGTTTCCAACAGAAATATCGAAGTAAGCCACAAATTCACACTGAGGTTAGACAGTGCAAGAGTAAATCATCAACTAGCAAAACATCTCCCAATCAAAATGGTCATCCAGCCAGGGACCTAAGCAGAAGACCACATACATCATCTCATTTAATTTGCTAGGTTACTTACGTTCCAGTACTTACTGCCTTGCCAAAAATGGCCTGACTCGCAGAAACTTTTCATCACTGTGCTTTTAGCATTCCATAACAAATCCTGAATGGAGGCTGCAGGTGGGAACTGTCAACAAAGCAAATGATACATCTGCCCAGATGAACACCTGAAGTCTTGTGTTTTTACACAGCATGGAATAGTTTTGACAGAGAATGGAGAACACCAAGTTATTTGGGAAGCTGAAGCCTGCGCCACAGTGTGAGACCAGGCTCCTCACTCCTCCCACGCAGGTCCGTAAAGCACCCAAGGAGGGGATGAGAGCTCCCAAGGAGAGCAACGGGATGTGAACCAGCTCCTAGCCAAAGGCTGCATCACTCTATCAGAGGGGTATAAAGCTAAAACAGCCCTGCTAGTTTGTGTTCATCACTGCGCTTACACAGTCACATGTTTTGAGAGGTTATAAGCAGGGCTCAAACACTCTCACAGGTACCTAAATATACAGCTGGCTATCTTATTAAGATCCATACTAAAATATAGTATAATTTAGGATGCATTTTTCTGGCTCCCATGACATCATAACCCTTTTGCTGTTGTATATAATTATAAAAAATGTCCCTCTGACTTCTTGTTGCTGAAAATATACAGGCTGTTTTGTTTAAAAATAACAGCATGTTCTTTCCCTCTTGTTTTTCTATCTTTGGCAGGTTCTGCCCTGAAAGCTGTGGCAATTACTACAACTGGAAGTTGGTGAAAAGACTTAGGATGACACCCTCTAGCACGGACCTTTATAAAGGTATCTAGCAATTAGCTTCCCTCCAACATCAATATTAGGTCTTTTTTATTTATACATACTCCTAAGCGGAATAAGAAATACACTCCTTATGTGTAACTGGAGCTCTCTATATCTTACTAGCCTTAACCACAGAGTAAACAATCCCTGCAGAGGGAGATGCACAGCAGCAGAAAGGGAGTAGGCACTGAAATACACCATGCATGAGCCTGAGTAATGGGCAAAAAATGGGAGTGTAACCCTATGACCATATTTAGTTTCCACATTTGAATCTTGGCTGGCTGAAGCCTCTCTCAAATGCCAGTGGAAGCCTGAGAAGCTGGAAATCGTTCGTTCTGTGCATACAAGCGGAGTCATGACTCATGCAGAAGAGAAACAGTTTTCATTTGCAATAGGAATATTTTCCCTTACTGACAGGGGAGACACCCAAAAATAGCTTTGCTTTCTGAGTGATTCTGTCAATTCACAGCAGTGATGCGAAGGTATTAAAGCTGAAGGAGCATTTACTCTTCCAGGAGTTTGCTTACAAAAAATAGAAATCTGTCTTTCAGACAGTGAGCCAAATTCACTGTGTGTGTCACCTCCTTGGAAACAATGAATTAAACTAGGGTAACTTGGACTATTCCATAAATTACAAAGGTCAGACAAATAAATGAAATGAAGGCTCAAAGAATATTAATGCAAGATCTCTCTGAGTAGGTAGCTCAGTGTATAATCTCATTCACGTTATGCTTTATTTCTCATGTAATACATTTTCAGCATCAAAAGTGAAAAAGCATTAAACTTCTGTTAAAGGTAGAGCTCTTTGGATCTCAAAGGAGTGATGTTCCTTGGAAAGGAAGAACATTTCGGAGAATCCCAGATTATTTGAATTAGTTTCCACCAAAGTCACTGGAATTTTCCAAGTTACTTCAATGGAAACTGAACTAAGCCAAGGAAAATCCCAACCCATAGTGAGGGATGACAGTAAAAGGTATTACTAATTGGAGTAAGACAAACAGGATTTACTTTAATTTTTTTTCTCATGGTTTGCTCCAGTGACCTTTTTCTAAAGGTCTAATCTAAACCAGCTGAAAAGTAGGCTTTCATCTACCAAAATGAGGTCACTAAGCTTAATACACCTCACATTCTGTTTGTCTTGCTGTAACCTCTTTTTCTTTAATGGACTGAATTTCATCCATGAAAGCAACAACAGAACCAAATTTGGATAGACCTGGAGCCCCTTCTCCCCTGTGATGTGGTCACACTTTCGAGAGGTTTGGAACAGAGCAGTAACACAAGAAACGTTTCAGTGGAAAAGAGCGCTCCTGTTTTTTGTTTTTTTTTTAAATCTGTGACAACACACGACACGCCGCTAGAACACCACAGATTTTATTTTTATTCGGGGCGGCCCCGCGGCGCTGCAGGGCTGCCCTGAGCGGAGAGAGCTGTAAAACGCTCCTCGGCATCTCGGAGCGGAAACGGCCCTGCTTCAGCCCTTCATTTTCTAACAAAACATCTAAATAGACACCTAGCAATGTTTCTCTGCTGTACTCCCACTGACTTCCAAGGGAGTTAGGGATGCATTTAATTATACATTTGCTTGCAAGATTTCTGGAATAAAAATGCTTCCATGAATAACAGGCTGAATGTGAGGAATACAAATAAACAGACTGTAACATCCTGGCTCCAGAAAAACAACCTACTTAGTAAAAGTGCATTTGTGAAGTTACTTCCACTTGCATGTCATCTGGCAAAACAAATGTCTGTTCAACCACTTTACCAGTGGAAATGCACCCTCTGCTTTCATTCTAATAAAAGTGTTCCAGAAAGTCATCTATTACTGCAAACGTGGAGAGGAGAGTAATCTAATAAAACACTCTCTTGAGGCTAGCAAAAATGGATCCAGCAAATTTCTGCTTTGCCTGAAATCAGCACAAGGCTTTTCACACCAGGAAAACACACTCAAAAAGAAAATGGGGAAAGCACAAACTTAGAAAAGCAGAATTCCCACCTACTAAAGCATGGATTGCAGAGGATTCAAGCCTGGGCAAGATTGTCCTTGTAAGGAGGTTTGTTTTTTTTTTCCTGCCTGTTTTCCCTGGAAATTTTGACTGAGATTGAGCTGAGCCGGAGACTCCAGAAACACAAGGTATTTCTGAAGTAATAATATATCAGGTGAACCCAGTTAGTCTAGAGCTATGTTCACCAGTACACAAAGCAGTACCCTCACGAGTCCTAAGGAGTTCATTGAAAATATTTCTGAGTGAAATGGTGGTTTTACCTCAAATCATTATATTTGCTAAGAATAACTGAATAGAAACAGTATTTTGAAAAAAACAGCCTTTTAAGTCATAGCATTAAATAGTGGTGCTGATGGTAAAACTGCTTAGGCAGTTCAGCATTTGCTCAAGTTTTAGAGGAGTAACAGGCTGGGAAACATTGAGCCTGAATTGTTGCTAGTCAACATCTGGCTGTTTCATGCTGCTTCTAATATTGCAAAGCAGCCGTAGGCCTCAACTCGCCGCCTGGGTTAAATCTAGCAGACAGCTTCTCTGTGTTTTCAGAGCAGCGCTAGGCTTCAGGAGCAGATTGGTGACTCTGGCATAATATCTATTAATAAATAAAAGCGTCAGGCTTTGCATTTGAATAGGCCTTTTTCTTTGGCAGATCTCAAAATAATTTCTAAAAAAGGGCAAATGTTGTTATCTCCATCATGGTGATAGGTTATATGATAAGCTCACAGTAGGGGACTGGACAAGATCTTGGCTCTACAATAAGCAACAGCTGCTCTCCTTGGTTAAATGGCACACACCAGCAGTCCCAAAAGTTGTGAGGTCCCAGCCAAGCGCACAAAGCCCCATAGCCAGATGGGCAATAGCAAGCACTGGAAAGCTAGTCCCACTACCCGCATGGTTCCAGAGGTAACTAAAACTTCACAGAAGAGTTGTCCAGAATCACAAACAAGCTGCAGTATTTTTTAACACACTCTGCTTTTTATTAATGACCATTGCTCCCCATACCCATTTAAGAAATCATCCTCACTTTTCCTTAGGTAGGTGTCCAAATTGACCCGCTGCAAGGATGGAATATTCTTTTTTATTTGAAGATGCCCTTCTTGCTAAAGTTTCAAACCTGTTTCCACTTTGTGGGTATGCTACAGGCTTCTAGATACTTCTACAACTCTTGAAAATGTGCCGTCCTTGCAGAAAAAATACTCTAAAAGTCTGACATGGTTAGTATGTGAAGACCAGGTACAAACATTGCAGCTGATGTTTTCATGTTGGGTCATGTTATATGTTAAAGCTGGACTTACCGCAGTCATTTCTGATTCTCAGTCAACCTATCAAGTTGGCAGCTCTCCCAGATCCCTCTGCAAAACATAAATAAAATAAAATATATCTCCAGCCATGCTACGTAGTTCACTGAAACACTTTGACATGCACATTACTGTTGCCTTTTAGCTGGCAAGCCATAGCAATACAAACTGTAGTTTGCAAACTACAGCACACAGCAATATGCACATTCAAGTGAGCAAGTGAGGCATCCCGTGTACGCCTTCGCAAGGAGGAGAAAGCTGCTCCCCTGCGCACGGGTGATTCCCACCAGTGATCTGCGAAGCTGCACACGTATGAATGCCAAGAGGCACACACAGCGCAAACAGGCGCTTGTCCCTGAATATTGGCATTCATTTCCAACCAGCAGCTGTTCAGAACCAGATGGAAAATAGTCATCACAGTTCTGCTTTAAGCCACATCACATCACCACCACCGCCACAGACCCCAGGCTGGCAGTCTCACCAGAAAGGCAGAAGAAAAAGTGGGCAAGGAAGCTGAATCCCCCTTCCCACCTGCCAATGTGAGCCCTCCAGGAAAGGACAGGGGCATATTTGGTGTGGAAGAGAGAGAAACAGAGAGCACTAGGCTCTCAGACGCTGTACTTTGAAAGCTATTACTACATTTGTTCTGTACACAGTGAACGTCTGGGTCCTGTGTTGACAAATCTGGCAGCTACTGAAAGCTGTCGAGTTAGCTCAGACATGATAAACAGGAGAAAAAAAAGTAACAAGTCATCACCGAAAGCAGTAGTTCCCAACCCATGAGGCAAGCCTTCTTAGTGTGGCATGCCTGCATTAAAGATAAGATATGTAAGAGAGAGCAGAAGTACTGCTGAGTCTGAAGAACGGGAGAGAACTATTCAGTTTATTTATGTTGCCGGATTTTTTTTCCCCCATTCCCAAGTTCAAGTATCAGAGACAAAGGACATGCTGCTTGGTGGTCAGGAAATACAGTGCTATAGATCTCCAAAGGCCCCTGCCAAGGAGTCATGGGTCATGGGATGATTGAGGAGATGAGGAAAAGAGAGGATAATAAAAGGCTACAGCTATGAGGCATGCCTCAGAGCGACTGGGTATTACTGCCCTAAAAAAATGTGTTAATCCAAAGTGTTTCCATATTGAGAACAATAAAATCAGCCAAATCCAAAACATTTCTGTGAAAACATGGAATTGGATTCAGCTCCACCCAGAATCCAGTGAAGTTCTCACACAAAACAAGACTCATCTCTTCAAAATAAGTATTGGCAGTTAATTGCCTGAATTGTGTCATTTTGGTACCCTGCATAAAGATAAACTGTAAGTGCCATGGGACGCTGATCACTTGTAAAGAATCCAGCTTAAACAGAGAGGTTTAGAGCATAGTAAGGGTCCAGCTCTGTACATTTTTATGCATACTCATAAATAAACTTTCTGTTGTATAAATAAATGTGCTTCTCCAGGCCCACGGAGTTTCTGATAGCCCCAAGTGTATCAAGGCCAAAAAAGGGGAAAGCTCATATCATTCCTTTTTGTTCAAATTTGTTCAACTATCATATTAGATAGACTTTCAGTTCTCTTTTAATGAGGTAAAACCACTGAGAATTGGTTCCACTGGATATTAAATACCTCCTTGTTTTGCTCAGTCTGAATCTGTGCTTGTTTTATACTTCAATAGCTACAAAATAACCAAGATAAAGCAAGTTTTGCCTAGGATTGACATCTTTCCTTTAACGAAAACTGCAGAGGGTCAGGAGGAAAATGGGGGAAGTCATCCAAAAAAAGGGCTACTAATTGCTTATTTCCTAGGTCCTGTTTTTACTCACCATATTCATATCCTTTGGGGGATGGTTTCTTTAAATTCTGGGGCTTATCAATGAGATGACAGCACTGCAGTTTTTTGTTTGCCTGTGCAGCAGTTCCAGGGTAATACAAACATTACCCTTGCTGGCCTTGCCGCTGTACTGGGAAGAGCTCTAAAGACCAGAGGATTTCATCATTTGCAAGATAATCATCATTCACCTGTAAGATCAGATTCCAACCCATGAAATTGAAGGGAATTTGATTTCATTGGCTTTAGGGTTAGTTTTGTTTCCACAGTTCCTCTGTTCAGGTTCCCATCTAGGATCTACGCTATTAAATGCCTGTGCCGTTTATAGTTCACATATCCCTAGGCCACTCCTTTAATGCCTTTCATCCAGTGTGGGCCATGCCTAGACTTGAAAAACCTACTTGCAAGTATCTGCGGCCATGAAACATATAAAGAGAAAGACTGTTAGGCTCTGTTCAGCTATTTGTGTTTTTCTAGAGTCCCAGGACTCATCCCATCAGATAAAGAGGTGAATAAAGCTCTCCTCCTCTATTAGCAAGTGACAAATCACTGTCCTTAGACAACCCATCCTCCCAGCTGCTTTAAGATGGGATGTCTACGGAGTCATTGTCTGCAGGGACTTGTGCTTTTTCCACTGGCTACATAAAGAACCTAGAGGACCAGCTTAGATTAGACTGACTTTAGGATAGCTAACATTAGGAGAGATGGATCCCACCCACTGGATACAGAAATGATCTTAAGTGCCATGTATGACATTGCTCCCAATCTCAATAAATAGTTCAGTCAGTCAAAACATTTTTTTCTTTCATAATGCTGGAGCATCATCTTGAAATCATCTCAGAAAATGAAAATCTAAAATAAATGTTCTCCACTGGGAAGCAGTGCTGCCTTCCTTACATAATGTATGATTCAAATAGCAAACTGCTGAGAAACATTAGCATGCAGACAGAGGCATACAGCATGCACAAGAGCAAATTACAATATTAGCTCATCTTCACACAGCACAGAAAGGCACGTACTGTACATATATGAACAGATGAATACATTAACCTCCTTGCACGCACACAGACACACATCTTGTTTGTACAAGGACAGATGATATTAACCTGAACATGCAAACACATAAACACATGCACACACACATGCAGTCCAGACAGGAATGAATTATTAATAAAAATCTGCCTGAATGCATACTCATACACATAGAACACACAAAGGTAAATGATAATCTATAACCCTTTCAAAGCTAATAACCTTAAAAAGAACTTACTAAGACATAGGAAATAGCCAGTGGAATTTTCTGTGGCCTGGTGATCAATGTAGTGACAGTTTGGGGCCCAGCAGGTGGAATTAGAAAGCAGAAATCAACAAATGGCATAGCAAAATGCACTTGCTGAAGATATCACCTTGATGTGTAGCAGGCAAAATGAAACATGACAGCCATGCACTGACCGTAAACCTTAGAAAGCTTGTTCTGCCTCAGAAGTCGTAAGAGCACAAAGGGCACTCGAATCACAGCTTTTGCACAGTGGAGGCACTGACCAAACTTTACTGGGCCATGGCCAGGTCACGATGATGTTTGTGTTAGGTATGAGAATTGTTACTTGCTCCCCTAGAATTGCCAGACACACGACAAGAGATATCAAGTGTCAGACAGAAAAAAAAAATAGAAAAATCATTAGCCCCGGTGTTATTCCCACAACTCCTGGGGCAGATGTTGAGCTCTTCCACGCTGTTTCCCATTCCCATGGCCAGCTCGTGCTGGCTGGTAAAATCAGAAGTCAAAGCTGTTTGCAACAGTCTTCACTGCCAATTGATTTTCCCCTGGAAAATATGCATGTGCTTGGTGGAGTACACAGAGGAGCTCCCAGGCTCTGCAAAAAAGATGCTGGTCCTGCAGGGTTCCCCAGGGTCCAGTCGCCACTGTGTTCTGACATTATTACCCTATATTATTAATCTATAGCCTCCAAAGTTATAGAAAAATACTATGATGTTCTGAAAAGATGAGTGAACACAATAAGCCATATTCCTGCAAAATGATGATATTCAGAAGTTAGACCGGAAGAAGGTGCTGCAAGCTGCACTGTTAATTCAACTATATGGAAAAAAGACCTGTATCATCCCAAATAAATACGAATGAGATTTCTAGGTCCAGAACAAGGAAGACTTAAAGGAATTTATCAAGGGGAAAGTGATGGACGCTTGTGGACTGAAGAACAATGGAGAAGTAATATTTTCCACATCAATAATAAAGACCTTTTACTCTGTGCTTTTACCTGGGCAGATCAATAGAGGTTGCAAATGTTCAGAATAAAGCAATACATTCTAACCTAAGTTCACTATTTAAAATGCCAAGAGTTTAGGCAAAGAGCCAGGTTTAATAAAAATGAAATAGAATCCATGCTTTGAGTAAATAATTCTTCTGCGTTTCTAGACAACGTTTTAAAGCATTAGTGGCTATAGTAAAGAGCACATAGAGGGTATGATTCATAGCTATTTTACTCCAGTTGTACAGTAGCTTAACATCCCTGAACTCAATAAACACCACAGTGAATCAGACATGAAACCTGTTAAGAAAGAGGAAAGACAAAATGGAATGATCTTTATCACTAAGATGCTTTTTCTACTATTACTCTAGTTCGCGTATCCTGCAATCATGGATGAAGGACTTTTCTGTCAGACACACGGTCATCAATCTTGGGATTTTATTGTGATTTTTGTGTTCTTTGCTGTTCTTCCTAAAGGCTTCCTGTTCCTCTGGTCAGGTGATTAAGTAAAAATATATGTGGTTTTGCTTTTTTTTTTTTAAGGTACTCTCTGGCTCTTACACGGCTGCTGGCCAAACCTGAATGATGAAATCTTGAACTGCAAATAAAAAGCAACCCATGTTTTTACTGCTGCTGTTTTAAAACTCTTCTGATTTCAAGCTTGGAGGCCTTGATTCACCATGGTATAGAGCCTAGAGTACCCACTGACTTGGCATGTATGTGGTCTCGGTTTAGTATTTCAGCGTTAGCTACTGCCTGTTAGACTCTGAAACAGTTAAAGTTAAAGGAGCATGACCTAGATAAAGGTAGCAGAGGTCAAGATGGAAAATAACAAGACAAACCAGTAGCACAGATCTACCTTGATGATTTAAAACCTCACTTTGCCAGATTTATTGCTGAGGCCATTAACTACTATGCCCAACTACAAAAACTAATGAGACCATTAAGAGTAAAACTAAGGAAAGACAGAGATAACTTGACTTCTTCTGTAACTTACTGCTTGTAACTCAACTGTTAAATTGTTAACACTGCCATTTAATATGCGTTTACTGGATTTAGGTAACCTGATGGCTGGACTTTGGAGCTATTAATAGAACGGAATGGAAGAATCTCGAGTTAACACAAAAAAGAGCTTGATGTGCTGGGGAAAATAAGAGCCTAATTCTCATGATAAGAATCATGCTAAAGGCCATGATTTCCATGCTGAGAGCAATTACAGGAAACATTCAGCTAAAGAAATCCAGATTAGTGAGCTATCAACAGATAGTTTTCGAAGTGGCCTGCTGTTGAGTATAAAACACATCTGACTAATAGTTCTCATCAACACTGATTCATGACGTAGTCCACAGCTTGTGACTAAACACTTCTGCTCATATTGTTCCTCATAGTTCCTCACCTCCCCACAGTATAAAATAATCTGAATAGAAGACATTCTGTGATGTTCTGAAACAGTTCAGTGCAAATTATTGTTTCCAGAGCAGGTTCATGCTCAGAGGTTTTTCAGTGATGTTGTTGGTAAGAAGTTTGCTTGGGACATTAGCAGCTCAGGGAGCAAAGACAGAACGAAGACTCTGAGCGTGCTTTAAGAGCCTGATGATCCTGAAATGACTTGCAGAATGGGAGCCACAGAGATAAACACTGAGCTAATGTAGTTTCTGATCCTAAAGGTCT